CCCTTGTGCAATCATGTTCACACATCTGAAAACAGTTTAGCTCGTTACAGAAGCTACAAAACTGACCTTCCTTTGAGCAGATTGAGTTTCTGGTGCATCACATTTGTGGGGTCAATTAAACGCTCAAAATGGCCACAAAAAGAGAACTTTCATCTGAAACTCGACAGTCTATTCGTGTTCTTAGAAATGAAGGCTATTCCATGCGAAAAATTGCTAAGAAATGGAAGATTTCCTACAACGGCGTGTACTACTCCCTCAGAGAACAGCACAAACAGGCTCTAACCACAGTAGAAAAAGAAGTGGGAGGCCGCGTTGCACAACTGAGCAAGACGATAAGTACATTAGAGTCTCTAGTTTGAGAAACAGACGCCTCACAGGTCCCCAACTGGCATCTTCATTAAATAGTACCTGCAAAACACCAGTGTCAACATCTACAGTGAAGAGGCAGCTGCAGGATTCTAGGCTTTAGGGCAGAGTGGCAAAAAAAAAGCCATATCTGAGACTGGCCAATAAAAGAAAAAGATTAGGATGGACAAAAGAAAACAGACATTGGACAGAGGAAGCCTGGAAAAAAGTGTTATGGACGGATGAATCCAAGTTTGAGGTGTTTGGATCACAAAGAAAAACATTTGTGAGACGCAGAACAAATGAAAATATGCTGGAAGAATGCCTGACGCCATCTGTTAAGCATGGTGGAGGTAATGTGATGGTCTGGGGTTGCTTTGGTGCTGGTCAGGTGGGAGATCTGTACAGGGTAAAAGGGATTCTGAATAAGGAAGGCTATCACTCCATTTGCAACGCCATGCCATACCCAGTGGACAGCACTTGATTGGAGTCTATTTCATCCTACAACAGGACAATGACCCTAAACACACCTCCAAATTGTGCAAGAACTATTAAGAGCAGAAGCAGGCAACTGGTATTCTATCGGTAATGGAGTTGCCAGCGCAGTCACCGGATCTGAACCCCATTGAGCTGTTGTGGGAGCAGCTTGACGGTATGGTACGCAAGAAGTGCCCATTCAACCAATGCAATTTGTGGGAGCTGCTTCTGGAAGCGTGGGGTGCGATTTCTCCAGACTACCTCAACAAATTAACAGCTAAAATGCCAAAGGTCTGCAATGCTGTAATTGCTGCAAATGGAGGATTCTTTGACGAAAGCAAAGTTTGAGGTAAAAAAAATCTTATTTCAAATATAAATCATTATTTCTAACCTTGTCAATGTCTTGACTCTATTTTCTATTCATTTCACAACGTATGGTGGTGAATAAGTGTGACTTGTAAGGAAAACACAAAATTGTTTGGGTGACCCCAAACTTTTGAACGGTAGTGTATTTAATGACTTTTGTAGTTATACTTTTCTACAGTTATCATGTAAGTTTTAGTAAAATACCTATAAACATAAAAACATACCCATATAAAAAAACCTAATTTTAAGTTGAAAAGCTATGGTTATGTACAACTCCATTTTTTATTTTACCAACCATTAGAACCTCGGAGAAAACAGTGGGTGAGGGGGGAAACGAAGAAATGCTAGAGGAATAAACTCTTTTAGTCTAAAAAATCTTTTCTCCATAGTGTCTACTATGTATTTAAATATATCTAATGTTATGAAACCCAAAATTGCTAAAAACTGCTTGAGAAACAAATAAATGACCATACTTTGTGGACCGCCTAGATGGCCTTCCTCCCCTTTGGGCCCCCAAACAAAGTCTCAAAAAGGTACCCAAAAAAAGTCTAGCTCAAACATTGAATCATCCTAAACCCCAAAACCCTTGTGGTCTTTGTGTTTGTGTGTGTTGTGAAGCAGTTGGAGTTATGCAGATATGCATCACTTAAGTACATCAAAATTGTTGTTGTTGTCCCCAAAACCCCAAGATTCTCTAGTGTATGTGTAAGATGGGGCCAGGTATGACAAATGGGAGGCACCTAAAGACCCTCTTGGTGTGTGGTGTTGCATATTTGAGGGAAAAGGAAGTAAGCATCAAGGCACTAGCATGAATTCCCCCCGGAGGCCAACTCCCCAAACTTATTTCCTCTTGTTCCTCCAGAACCAGCCCAGAATCCTTCCTCCTAAAGCACCTCATGGGAGGCTATACTCCAGTGGAGATTGTGATATTTGTAAATGAAGACACACGTGAAGACAGCAAAGGAAATCTTTTAAAAATTTTTGTAACAGTGGTTGCGAAACTTAGTGTTTTGCCTTGGTGGGAGTGATATTTGGTCTGTGTGAGTGTAAGTCTTGTTTTCACAGATGAGAGAATCTGCAGTCTGAAAAATGGCATGTTGTTGCAGGTGTTTGCCTGCTTCATTGCACATGTCTGCTGACATGCCCTTTGGGGATTTTAAGGGATTATGCCACTCAAAATTTCCATTTTCTGTATATTTAGCATAAAAAACTAACTAAACTAAGTAACTAAAAGAGCAGGGCCGCCAATGAAACTAATCCTTAAAATCAACACCTATTAAATAGATGTGATAATTTGAAAAATGAATCAATAATTCTTCTTTTTCTATCTTCTTTTACTCACAGAAATAACCAAATTGTAAATTAAATCAAAATTTTTATAAATATTTTTTCCTTTCTGTACTAAAGTACACAATGAAATAGCTTAAACTTGTTCAGTGTCTGATCAACTAAAACCTAAATGGACTGGTTAGCAAAGACAGAAATCAGCTAGACTCCAATCCTATTTTCTGTAGTACTGTAATTCTATGACCTGCTGAGTGATTTAGATTTATAACATGAACAAATTAAATAAGTTCATGATGTTCTTCAGCTTCACCATATATTATTGAACAATTATTAAAGATGAAAACAAAATCCATATCCATTTTTAGTTTAAAAATAAATGTATCTGTTGCATTAATCTCCATACGTTTATTTAAATCTTAATTTAAAAAATTCGAATTCATTATGGTATTTCAGGCTATTGATTTTGTGATGTGTTTAGATCTGAGCTCTAACAGCCATGGACCAAAGCTTTGTTTAGCTGTTCAACTCTTTCTTCATTTCATTCACCACAGCTCACCTTAAGCCCAGATTCCTGTTATCAGCAGTGAAGGTTTATCTGGTAGTCCCCATTCACCGTAATGAGATCTATTATGTCGGTTAACAAGAAGAAACAACATGTCTCTGACGGAAACAATTCATTTTGTGAATGAACAGAGGACATTTAAGTGCAGCCCCAGGCAAAAGAAAAGCAAAAACATAAAGGGGTTGAAAGTACTTGATTTTTCTTCACAGAATACTTCTGACCCGTAACAAGAGTCGCAAAGTTTGCAATGATGAAGTTACTAGTCGTATTTTAGGAGAGACGGCAGACAAACACGTCTACAAAGCAGTGAGTTCAGTTAGATGGCAGGATGTTTGCCATGTGGCTCTTTGACACCACTTCACCCCTGTGAATCGCTCCTGATTGATCTTGGCCGCATATTTGTCACAAGACTAAAGATTATCGCTGTTTCTTGATTTTGTTTTCCAAATAATTTTTTCCACTCATCTTTCGCATAACATGCTAGAGTACAGGAGCATATGACAAACAGCTTCTGTAGCTCATTTACTGTGGTATATTGTCCTTGTGGCAGATTTTAGTGATTGTGTTGTTCATAACAGGGCCACAACATAGCATATCTGTGTTGTTAGTATCATAGATACTCAGATTTATTGAAATGCACCTGTCTTTCATGTATTTTTGTCATCCAGGTGGCGGCTGGATGGACCCAGAGCTGGCCAACTTTGAACTCTTGGTGATCTTGAGTGCCACAATCGAACCGACTTCTGCAACCTGCCAGGTTCGAACATCCTACCTACCGGATGAGATCCTCTGGGGATATGAGTTTCCTCCTGTCGTCTCTCTTTCCCCATCAGGGAAATATGTGGCTGATTTTGCCTTCTTTGACAAAGTGTTAGAAGCTAAAACTCCTCCTTTCTGCAAGCAGCCGTCATCACCGAATGACAAACTGGAGATACATTACACTGGTGCAAAAGAAGATGAGACAGGCCGAGAGAAGCACATATTGGAGGAGAACTTCAAGGGGAAGGAAAAGAAGCGAGACAGAGGACGCATACGAGATAGCAGCCCACTGAGTGTTCGTATTAGTAATGTATGAAAAAGAGCATAAACAGGAAAAGCTGTGGGAGGAAGTAAGATAGGTTAAATGCAGGAAGAAAGAGAAGACGAAAGCAAGCTGCTAAACATATGAAACCACATTTCACACCCACGCTCTGAAAGAATTGCCTTGCACAAACATCAACCATAGACCACAAACACTGAACACCTGGGTGTCTTTTCCCTTATCAAAGGGAAAACAACAAGCCTGTAAACAATGAACTGAATATATCTGCAACCAGTGTTAGATAGAGGAAGCCTGACTATTGCAAAACCTACGACAGGATTTACGTGTGTTTTATACTACAT